TTGAAAGGCGCCTGCGATCCACTGGTGCCAAGGCGATATAAAATAGTGTGAGTTTATGAGATGTTTTAACCTCGAGGAACTCACTTTATTCGGAGTACATAGTATGCATGATAATTTCCAGAATAGGACCGTGGACTTGGTACATTCATAGACGTTTCGCCGGCATCACAGTCAGCATCGTCAGTGAGCCTTGTCTCTTTTAGTACAACACTATAACTCGTGAGAGACAAGTGAAGTCGATCCTTTGACCAATTGTCTGCTAAACAGTTGTGGTATCTCGCCTTCTATCCTGAGGTATTCACTTATCCTATATCCTCGTATCACCCTTTCAATATCACAATCTCTTACTTGTTCGTCTAAGCCTATTTGAAGAAAATGTGAAGATTAATGGGTATTTAAGGGAACTCACTAAATGATATTCCCAAAAGTTGAAGTTAAATTAATTTCTATTTGATTTAGCCTAACTAAGGCATCATACAGAGCTTGCATATTGAGCCAAACGTATAGGTTTTGTCTTCATAGCAGATGCCGAGTAACTAAGTAATAGGCCATGGATAAGCAATCTGTACAGAATTCGAGACTCACAAAAGATCATTAAGTTTATAAGCAACCTCTGACAAGAAATTCATCCGACAAGTGGCTATTCACATGATTGAGAACAGGCCTCGATTTGAACTATTGTATTACTGAGTATTCCAGGATAAACAACAAACGGCAATGAATCGCTAATCTCCATGATACATGTGAAGAATTGCACTTATATTTGAAATTAAGCAATTAATTAGCTTATTTTGACTTTTTGGATGTAAGTATATGTTTGCTACTCTATTGTAGGCAAAAAGCGAGATCAAACAGTTGACTACACATTTGGTACCAAAAGCTTCTAGGGATAGTCATATAGTGTGCAATAGGAATAAAAGGCTTACTCGCTCTTGTAAAGAATACCACTTGAGGGCTGGATCGAAGTTGTAGTTTTCGAGGGAAAGGGTGACTTCCCCTAAGAAGAGGTTCGGCCCAATGGCCTGGTAATGCCAAATAGACAGCTGGAGGGAGCGTGAGGCAAGTTCAGATTGTGAAATCTTGTATTTGAATTCTTCGCTGAAGACCGGATTCAAAGAGCCCTTTTTTCGCGAAGAACGTCGCTTGCTTATTTTGGTCTTATCAGGCAGAAGGTAGGATTTTACATATCTGGAAGGATCGAAAAGTGTCAAAAGCTAAGATAGAACAATTTCTTTATGTAGATAAACTACGATATACTAAACTAAGAAATCGGAGTGCCAAAATACAAAAAAATTACCTTTGAAAAACGAAACAGGACTTAAGGATGGAGATATAGGGCATTCTGAAGCTTAGCAACTTGAGGGAGCCCTTTTTTGTACTTGAACTTAAATAAGCTTAATAAAAATTGTCATTATCGAAACATACTCAATCTGAATACACGATCTTAAATATAGGAAAAGGGACCAAAGGACAAAAATAAAGATAAGCATTGCATAATCCCTACTTAAGATGAAGTCAAAAATGTGCATTTTAAAGACCCAAATCACGCTTTGTGTGGTATACTAATAGCAGCCTCCATTAGAAAGAGAAAATAGGAATTTGTTGGATTGCTAAATATTCTGAATACCTTTTTGATTTAAGTCCAGTTGTCTATCATAATAAGGCACCTGTAATCACAATTTCGTTCGCCTCCCCATTCCACTCCGTTGCCTATAGTAAAAAGATTAAGTCTCCCTTTCAGGAATGAGATGTATTCACCCTACTCCCTTTCAGGAGTTGTGGCAATAATTGCATACTATAACTGGAGGAATTTAGGCATTGGTTACGGTTACACTTGGTATGGAAATGGAATACTTATCCAAAGCGGTTTACAGGCAATAGAGCAACAGGACCTAGAAGAGAGAATGAAAAGCGTGTCCGAGAGACGAGCAAAGGATTTAAAATGAGCTATGCATTTATAGATC